TTATACCAAAAAAAAAAAGCAAATGGCATGATTAATTAATGTGTATTGAGCACTAGTACAACACCCGTGTATTACACGGGTACTTGCTAATTTTTTTCTTAAAATCTAAAATTAATGAGAAAAAGTAGTTTCAAAATTTAAATACCTTTTATAAGAATATATATTATTATGTATTTATTATGACACTTTTTATTTGTGCAACTTACTTGTGTTATATTATACTAATTTTTTTTAACTTACAATATATAACTACACTACATATAAATATATCAATTGTAAGATAATTTTATTTTTCTAATGAATTTTAATAAATATTATTATTTTTTATTATTATAAAGATAAATATAATTTATTTATTTCATATATACAATATGGATGTCAAATCGAAGATCATCAAAAGATGATAAATTTGATATATTATATATGTAAAACCGATAAGAAATACAAAAGTTATCAACTTTTAAAATACATTTATAATTCAATAGCTTATTAAAGGAAACAAATCAAAATTCAAGGATATATTAGTCACTTATAAGTGCCTCACTATTTAAAATTACAAATAATTAAAGAGTTATATTAGTAAAAGTGATATTAAAATACCTAAGTTAGCTAAATAATATTTATGGAATACCCGAACCTAGATTATTAATTATTAATATATCAATATTATTTATCCAAACCTAATTACAAAGCATGATACTTCGCCAAATAGGATTTCAAAGTATCAAAAACAGCCACATAGGCTCAGAGTATTCGAGAATTATATATACTGAGCATATAATATATTCATTTTGTTCTGTTTTATCTTGTAAAAAAATATCAAGTCAAAATAAGAAAAACAATTATCAAGTCAAAATAAGAAAAAAAATTATTTCCTTTTAGATTCATTCTGGCAGTGACACGTGTACAATCCAAAACCTTGACGCGACGCATCAAGAACTTTCCTCCGCCTTCTTCCCAATCCCTACATTCCCTCTCGACAATATAATCGGTGTGCCCTCCCGGCGAAGCTATTCTAAACCGCCGTTAACCTTACGCCGACCTGAAATCTGTACACTTCACGTCTTCAAGTTTCTTTTACCCTGTCTGTGAGCGATACCCATCGGAATTTATATCTGCTGCCGGAAGGATGTGGAACCAGCCTTACCGGAAATATGACGTGGAATCCGGCGCCGAGCCGCTGTACCCGATGATGCTTGAGAGCCCCGAACTCCGTTGGTCCTTTATCAGGAAGATTTACACTATAATCAGTGTACAGCTGCTCCTCACGATCGCCGTCGCCGCCGTTGTCGTCACGGTTCACCCGATTTCCCAGTTCTTCGCCACCACAAGCTCCGGCCTGGCTTTGTACGTTGTGCTTATCTTCACCCCTTTCATTGGTATGCTTTCCCTCCTCTAATTTTATTCATTTGTTTGTTTATCTGTTGGCTGTGGGGTTTGAGATTATGTGATTTGGGATTTTTTTTTTTTTTCTTGAATTTGTATCGGCAGCTTTGTGTCCTTTGTCTTACTATTACCAGAAGCATCCGGTGAATTATATCCTGCTTGGGCTGTTTACTGTGTCACTGGCGATTGTTGTGGGGCTGACATGTGCTTTCACCAGCGGTGAGTGATTCTTTTTCCTTATTATTAATGTCATAGTTGTTTTGCTGAGCTTTGATTGGAAGAAAATATGAATTCTTGGAGCAAGTTTTGATTCGGAATTATCGTGAGAAGTTTCGGAAATCCTAGTTTGTGATTTCGGTTGCCACAGAAGATAAGTAGATGAACTGATGAAGTTTCTGGCATTATGTTATCCATGTTGAGTTTAAGGGAATATAACGATTTGTGCCTATATTATTTACGAGTTTCCTCTGTTTTTGCCTTGGTACTTCTCTGTTGTAATTTTGTGTTGCGTGTGCGGCTTTAATTGCTAAGTGGGTACCGTATGTCCTCCCCTCCTTGAAGAAGACGAAGATGATGATGACAACAACAACAACAACATACCTAGTATATTCCCAACTGGTTGGGGTCTAGGGAGTCAGTTGTACGCAAACCTTACCCTTGTATAATTACAAGGAGGCTGTTTCCGTAGTGACCCAAGGTGCATTGCGTCGTTTAATATATTTTTTTTTTCTAGAAACTTCACTAATAGAAGAAGCACTAGAATTTAATTGAGCCATTTTGATCTAGTCCAATAATACTATGCCAGGAGAATTGTCAACAATGACTCTTCCAGCTCTCTATTTGCAATGGACAACAAGACGAAGATGATAACGGCAAAAAAAAATTCAGATTGTATGTGCACTTGAAATAGGCTTTAAAGCCATGGACTTGAAAGCTTCAATGTAGGCTTTCTAGTTTTTATAATGAGGACACCAAAAAAATCCAGCATGTTGTGTAATAATTAGAACAGCTGATTTCTTGATCTCTATTTGGGAGGCTGATTTATCTCCTTATTTGTCAAATTTCTTTCCAAAGTCGATGATTCGTGATTATTAATTAAATCAGCTGGCATTAATTAACACCGTGGGATTGAATTGAATGGATGCAGGTAAAGTTATTCTGGAGTCCGTTATTTTAACGGCTTTTGTCGTAGTTAGTCTCACACTGTATACTTTTTGGGCGGCAAAGAGAGGCCACGACTTCAATTTCTTGGGACCGTTCTTGTTTGGCGCTGTTATGGTTCTCATGCTGTTTGTGCTGATTCAGGTAAGAATTATTACATCAATCGTCTATTAACAGAATCTTAACTAAAGTATGGATTTTTTGGTTAACCAGAGTTAATTTAAAAAGTTTATTGGGTTAGTTTGAGTGGAATTTTGAGTTTGTATTAAAATAATATTTGAAATAAAATGATGAAAGTTGATTTGATATATAGATGAGAGTTATCGAGTGTAATAATTTCTTGAAATATTCTATGCTGTGGCAGATGTTTTTCCCATTAGGTAGGACGAGCATGATGATCTACGGCTGCTTGGCCTCGATTATCTTCTGTGGGTACATCGTATACGATACTGACAATCTGATAAAACGGTACACATACGACCAGTACATATGGGCTGCTGTTGCTCTGTATTTAGATGTCATCAACCTTTTCCTCTCGTTGATGACTATTTTCAGAGCGGCCGAGAGGTGAGGAACTTTTTTTTTGTGTCTGATTTGGTGTTTCTGTAAGAATGTATGTAAGTATGTTTTTTTTTTTTTCCTTTTGGTTTGGTTTTGAATTTCTCACTTTGACGCGAAGAAAATTGTGTGTTGTGGGTAGTTGTATTGGGAACTGTCAATGTGTATTGACTATTGCATTAGTTTATTTATTTATTTATTTTTATTTTACAATTCATGTCAATGTGGAACAAGTGTAGCTAGTGAAGTGGTGGTACTATAATTGAGTTAGGTGTATGTGCACGATGTAAACAACAAATAACAACAACAATATGTTCCAAACAAGTTGGTAATTTTTAGTAGCCAACTTGTTGGGTAGGTTCGAGATGAAACTCAAAAGAATCAGTGGTAGGTTAGAAGTAGGTTAGAGATGAAAGGCAAGAGAACCAATGGTAAGAGAAACACAAAAGTTCAAAAATAAAATGAAGAGATTAGAGCAAAAGGGAAAGAGATTGGAGCAAAAGAGAAAGGAGCAAAAGCAATGGTTCTGGCATATTGATTGTTAGCCTTCAAGCGTTCCTATCCATAGTTAAATTCTTAGAGATATTCCAATCTTTAAGGTCTCTATTAATTGACTATTCTCAAGTGAGTTTAGACCAACCTCTATCTCTCAATTTAATTCTACGCAACCATTTGAAATGAAAGTGTGTCGAAGGGGTTTTAATGAGGGCGAAGAAACTTCTTGAGTGGAGCTAAAGTTCATTGTATTCAAAAAAACGACCCAGTTCGGTTTGAGCCAGACTTGTTTAATAATTAACCAGTGAGTTGTTACGGGAATACGATTTGTGCATTGCAAACATGTTTGGTTAGGCTGTTCATAAATAAATATGATAAAAAATTAAGTTGCTTTTTGGTTGTTCGAGCTTGATTAGTCCTTCGAGTTTGGTTAGGCTGTTTGTAAATAATAATGATAAAAAAATGTTGTTCAGAGGTTGATTAGTTCTTCGAGTCTGGTTCGTTTTAAGTAATAGAAAGATTAGTAGCAATAGAAGGAGAGCTGAGTGTCTGGATACTGAGGTTACAATTGAAGAAGAGATTATGATGATGTTGTAACTTAGGACCGCTTGAAAAACTTCAGTGTCGAATGCAAGCAAAATCACTTCCTAACATCGTGTATCCACGAACAACTCGGTTTGAGTAATTTCTGCATATATTGCATTTTGTACACATTTTCCTTTCAAAAGGACCTCTGTTGTACCCGTTGATGCCGAAAAACCTGGATCACATATCAGCTTTTCGAAAAACTTGGATCACATATGAGCTTTTCGTACAGATCGTGGAAATTTTCTTAGATATCGAAAGTTGATTTCCTTACGTTCTTCTGTGTTTCTTTTCCGATCTTTTGAATCCTTTTCTTCTCCATCAATTTACCTTGTTCATGAATGTAATTCTAAGATAAACTCAGAATATCAGGCTTTTCATGTGTCAAACTTTTGCTGTAACACTCTACCAAGGTATTTGACTTATACCTTTGAAAGATATAGATTCTTTCAGAGTCAAGGCTATCAAAATCGATAAACAGCAAAAAATATCAGTTTCCTCATAAAACGAATCTCGAACATGCCAAATTAACAATCGGCAAAACACGCACACACAAAAACGATACAGAATCTACCTTATCAATCCTATCTGCTCGACTGCAATCCGCCATTACCATAGTACTGCTTCGTAGTCTCTTTAGCGAATTCCGCAAAAGTCATTCCATCCTTTAACCGTGAAAAC